TAGGAATTAGATATAGTTTACCTTTCTTTAGGTTTGTTCATTAAGTGAGTTTGGTTTGACCCCGCGCCTTTTTGTTTGTTTTTTTCTTCTTTATATTTTTATGGTATCTTATTGGACTACGGATGATTGATATAATTTGGAGTATCATCCTCGTTGAGATCACAAGATATAAAGTGATGCTTTTGCATATTTTCGTTTTATAAAACAAATCATAAGGTTGACGTTAAAATGGGTGGTGTATTATATTATTAATAACTTGTCACCCTTATTCTTCAGGAATATTTCATTGCTATTGAAATCTCTCTCTCTCTCTCTCTCTCTCTCTATATATATATATATATATATATATATTGGTAAGATATTACCATCTCTTTTGAGGTTTGAAGGCTTCTGTGCTTTTCTCTAGTTTTGGAGCCTAATTGGTATCTAGTAATAGTTGATAGGCTGTACAAAACACCTCTCTATACATTCTTATGAATTAAACAGCTTAAGGTGAAATGCATGTTATGAGCATAATGGTTTTATACGATGGTTACAGCCAATTTTGATGAGTGAAGACAAATACAGGATATATTAGCATACAGTCTATGACTATCGTATTATTTTCCCTACCTGTTTACCAGGATTTTGTTTTGTTTACAGAATGATTTTAATTTTGAAATGCGAGATTGGATGACTGTCCAAACAAAAGAGTTGCCTACAGGGTCACGGTTGGTAAGAATTAATCTCTCATTTTAATGGCTGAGACATGTATGCATAGCATATCCTCATGACCAATTTACTTATTTCTTTCATTATTTTTATCGTCTGTTTCTGGAACAGATCATGGGCCTAAATCCCCCCTTTGGACTTAAGGCAGCTTTGGCCAACAAGTTTATAGACAAAGCTCTCGAGTTCAGACCGAAGCTTCTGATTCTCATAGTGCCATCAGAGACAGAGAGGTAACGTCCTTTTTTCTTGTTTTTTTTTTTTTTTTTTTTTTTTAAGAATGAGTTAAACTTTCCCTTCATACCAATCTGCCAAGACTACCTTGTCGATGTTGCTTCCTTGGTTGGAGGAGAGATACAGCTCACTCTCTTGTCCTCCCTCTTCATGTTTTCTTCATTATTATATAGGCTAGATAACAAACGGCAGCCTTATGATCTTGTCTGGGAGGATGAGAGGTTTCTATCGGGCAAGGTAAATAAATATTAATAATATATTGTGGTAATTTATGTTTGAATGATACATGATTGTTCTTGTTCTGACTGCTGTTTTTTCTTTTCCCGTTCTTGTCCTCTTTTATCTCCAGTCATTTTATCTACCCGGATCAGTTGATGCTAACGACAGGCAGATAGAGCAATGGAATGTAAAGCCACCCCCACTCTACCTTTGGAGTCGTCCTGATTGGACTAGCAAGCACAAGGCCATAGCTCGGGAGCATGGTCACCTGATCAGCCAGCGTGAGTTGTCAAAAATGGAAAGCTTTGATGTAGAAAAATCACCTGCCGGTCGTACTATGGATGATAATTTTGGTGTCAATATCATGCCAGGTGATGACATCTTGAATTCAAGTGATGGACCTATGAATGAAGGCCAGATGGGATTCTCACCACATGGAAGTTTTGATCGGGGAAGTCAAGAGAGACAGGAATATAGGGTGAGTAAGGCTGAGAAGACTTCATGGAAAAGGAAACGAACGGAGGAAAATAATGGAAGAGGACTAGATGTGACCTCACCACTCAATTCAATTGATGCGAGATCCTCAGTTGAACGTTTTCCGCCTAAACATGACATGCCACCTCCAGATTTTGAGCTTGGTGATAGAGGTTATATGCACTTGGAGCCCACGTCTTCCTCACGTACTGGGGGGATTAGAGCAGCCTATAGCGGGAACCAAAATATGCCAAGTGTTGTCAATCCCCTTTATAATTCAGGCATGGATGAACACCATAGCAGCCTTATGAGAGACACCGGCTATAGACCCTATGTCAGGGAGGATGAGAACTACCTTAGGGAATTAGAGACAAGGCAACATATTCGCCAATATGGGCTTCAGAATCCAAATAATGTGACGATTAGCTATCTTTCTGGTCACGATCCTGCTTATAGCCAACAGATGAGGACAAGTTACCCAGCCCATGGTTCATTCTTCGAGTCTCCTTATGTTACGAATGTACCAGCCATGAACCGATATGCACCACGTCTAGACGAATTAAACCATGTAAAGACGGATCCTCTGGGGTCTGAGCCTCCTATAGTTGGCAGAAATGACACTGTTGAACGTAGTGTGCCCCAACCTGGATATGAGGGTAGCATGCCAGGTTTTGCAGGTGGTTATCACCATGTCTATTCACGGCAGAATTCAGCAGACCGGTTCAACGAGTAGGTTTGAATTTCCATTCTTCAGTTATCCCCACTTTAGTTTTGCAACAAAATGCTGTATGCCATATTCTGCATAAATCATAGGTTTTTTTGGTGTATGCTCTTTTTTGCTAATCTTCAGTCTGTTTCCTTGCGAAAGAACATTTAGGGTATTTTTTTGATTTAGTTACGTGGTTTAGTTTTTAAAAACAGTTTTAATAAATAATTTTAAAAATTTGTTTTTAAATAAGTTGGAAATTTTTCATTTCATAAATCTGGTTATGTGGTATTACTTTTGATTTACATATTGTAAATCAGAGTTCAAAATTTATATAGTGAGAGACATTCAGTTCTCATACTGTTCAACATTTTCTTCATAATTTGAAGAGTAATAAGATCCTCATTGGTGTTCAACTAGACATTTTTAACACCTCTCCTTTTTTAGAAATGCACTTCATGCTATTTTCACGATTAGTTTAAAACTGTTTTTCAACAATTTCAAACTACCCTCTTGTTTCTATATCTTACTAATAACTTATTTCTTTAAATTATTTTTCTCTATTTTTAAATTAAACTTTAATGATTTTTTTAAGAGAATTTGTCAAAATATCGAAACCTAATTTTATAGAACTAGGTAAATTATTTGTTTGTGTATTCAAAACATAATTTATATATTTAAAGATTTTTTTATTATGAATTTTAATTATATAAAAATAAATGTTTTCCATATGCATTACCTAAAATTTTTAGAATTGAAGTTCCAAGCAGATTTTTTTGGCTGAATGTCCAAGCATTGTTTTTTTATCAATGTTTAAACATTACTTATTTCATCTTTATAGAATCCCACTATTGAAGCAAATTACCATTAGTAATAATAATAGTAATTTATTGAGGCTGTGCATTAACATATTTAAGAAAAATGTACTTTTACTTTTTAAACAAAATTCTCAGAACACCAGTATTAACTGGTCATTCATTTTCTCCTATCCAATATATAAGACTCCATTAACAATTAATATTAAAAAATTAATTATTTAGTTAGTATGTTAAATTTAAGGTTTATATTTACTGCCAATTTCTATGTCATTTCGTGAATCCCCTTCAAGTAATTGTAAACACATTCTTCTAATGTCTTTTAACTTAATTAATTAACTAATCTATAAATAATTAAATAATAATTAAACAAATATCTTTATGGGGTGTCCAAGAAATGATTTCATTGTAGTGTTAAGTAATTGACGGCATTTTTGTAAGAAAAAAAATTAGATTGTCTTATAGAAAATGAAAGCAAACTTCTAAAAATATTACTATGTAATAGGTGAGGGGGAGTAATTTTTTAAACCATAGTGTTCAAAGTTAAAATACTTTTGGTTCTGTAAAACTATGACTTATTTTCTTCATTCAATTTTAAAAATATTTCAATTTCAGTTTTCAAAGTAAATATAATTAACATTAAAATGATAGTTACAAACCAATTACTCTTTAAAGAATTACAAGTGAAATATTTTAAAATTAGAGAAACGAAAATAAAATAATTTTTCTAAAGGATAAAAGCTGAATTTGAAAAATTTTAGAAGAAAACTTTCTTTACAAATGAGCAAAAACTTAAATAGAATATTTTACTTTTTACTACGAATTGAAGTTCCACCTTGATATTCTGCATTATTGTCTCTATGATATAAATTACTAAGATAAAACTATAACTTTGATTAGAAAATTAAAAAAAGAAAAAAAAATGCTGTATCCAAGTTTTTTCGTTTCAAATTAATACTCGAGATCAAATGGGTTGGATACTTAAATCCCTTCATTGGTCTCTCAGTCTGCAAAAAAATAATTTATTTTAACTTTCATCTATTATATTTTTCTCTGTTATTTACTTTTTGCTTTGTAAGTAACAGATAAAAGACTTTTTAAATATTAAGCTAAATTTTTTTAAAACATATAATTTACTTGGTTAAGTTAGTTGTCGTAAAACATATAATTACTCCATTGAGTTTCGTTTATTATATTGAATACTCATAAACCCATCATACACTCTTTTAGGTCGCTATACTCAACCAGAATACAGAAATGAGTTCTCATGGAGTTAAAGCTAACCCCACCAGTCTAATCCAAAAGTGCAGATTAGTGCACCATGCACATGGGTAAGAAAGTGATCGATCATTGATGTAATAGCCAACAAAACATAATGGATAAGAAGACAAAAAGACACTAACGAAAATAGGATAAAAACATTATAGAAAATAAATTAAATGTATGGTAATAATTAAAAAACGTATGGGAATACGAAAGAAGAGCATAAACTATAGAAGATGCATCAAAGTTAAAATAAAATAATAGGAGATGGGGGAAGAGAAATACTCTATATATGAAAATAGGATAAATCGTATAATTAAAATTAAAAATAATCGTGAGATAATTTATGAAATTCATTCAATGAATTTTTAACAAGTGGGCCGTTTAATTATGACGCAACTTGACTCTTGGAAAATTGATTTCCATCATATGTCATCCAAGAAAAAGTGAATTAAAATTAAACTCCCTCTTTGGTATTCAATCTATGAGATCCTCATATCCACCATCACAACTCATCATTCTCCTTGCCATATGACAAACATTCAACCACCTAGATTCGAGGAAGAGAAAGAGAGAAGAAAATGAAAGCCATGGATGGTGAAATTGAGAGGTTCATCAAGGTGTGGCTCACAACCATCACATGTTTATGTTATTGTTATTACATAGCTTCTAAAATACCAAAAGGTTTCTTCAGGCTTCTCTCCCTCCTTCCAATTCTCTACCTCTTCCTCATCCTTCCATTGAACCTCTCTTCCTTCCACCTTGGTGGCCCCACCACCTTCTTCCTTGTTTGGCTTGGCATTTTCAAACTCATCCTCTTCTCCTTCAACCAAGGCCCTCTTGCCCTATCTCCCCCAAACATTCTCCATTTCATCTCCATAGCTTCCCTCCCCATCAACCTCCAACACCACCACCCCACCAACGCCAACACAAAACCCAAATGGCTTTTCCTCCTAAAAATGCTTATTTTATCCATGATCTTTCGTGCTTATGACTATAGAGAAAATTTGCACCCTTATTTCATCCTAGTCCTTTATTGTTGTCACATGTACCTTGGCGTGGAACTTGTCTTAGCCCTTTCTGCTGTACCGGTTCGAACCCTTTTAGGGTTCAAAATAGAACCTCAATTTAATGAACCCTACCTTTCAACTTCCCTCCAAGACTTTTGGGGTCGTAGGTGGAACCTAATGGTTACTCGTATTCTACGCCCCACTGTATTCCACCCCGTATACCATATATCTACACATTTTGTGGGCCCCTCTTGTGCCCTCACAAGTGCCGTGTTGGCGACCTTCATTGTGTCTGGACTCATGCATGAGTTAATATATTATTATCTTGCACGTGCGCCTCCCACGTGGGAAGTTACCTTTTTTTTTGTTCTTCATGGTATGTGCACAGCGGCGGAGGTGGCGGTGAAGAAGGTGATGCTCCGCCGTGGGTGGCGGTTAAATGGAGTCGTGTCGGGGCCGTTTGTGGTGGCGTTCTTGGTGGTTACCGGAAGGTGGTTGTTTTTTCCTCAATTATTGAGGAATGGTGTGGATAGAAAGGCCATTGAAGAGAGTGCAACTTTAGTGGACTTTATAAAGTCTAAGCTGCCATTACATTTGTTTAATTTTTGATAGTGAAAGAGAAAGTTTTGGTTAGCATTTCTAAGAGTTACTCATTTTTCTTGGTTGGGTTTTACAAAATTCAATGAGACATGATATTTCAGGAAACATGTGTACTCATTATTCTTTCAGAACTTTTTTAAATTAAACTACTCAGAGAGAACTTGTGCGAGAGAGGAAGAAAAAGAAAAAAGAAAATATAGAAAGTTATTATTATTATTATTATTATTATTATTATTATTATTATTAAAAAAATAGTTATTTTAATGAATTTTTTATTTGATTAATACGCTTTGTAAATATATTAATACGCTTTTGTAATATTTTTTATAATTTAAAAAATTAACAAAAAATATTAAAAAATTGTGTTAGAGTTTTATTTGTATATTATATTTATACTTAATTATACGTTTCACTACTTAACTAGTCATTTCACGAATTTTATCATTAGTTTATTTTCACATTTTATTAACATACGTTTTAATTTTTATACATTTTAATGAAATGCTAAATTTCTTATGGAGTGATAGTATATGACAAAACTAATTAAAAAATAAAATAAAATCAAAACAATATCATTTTCTTATTGAATTTTTCAAATGAATTTGTTTTTATTTTTTTATATAACACATCATCACTTTATTAGAAATTTAATACAATTGATGAAAATTTGTAACATGTAGTTAGATCAAGAAATCATCATACGTGACGTGGTCATATAAGCACAAGTTTTTGTAGAGGACGTTTGAATTTATGAAAAGATTAATTTTGATGTAGGTTAAATTAGGCTCTTAATTTTATCTTGATCTTATTTTCGAAAAATATTATGGAGTAGGAAGAAAGTATCATTATATTATGTCCAATAGCATATGGGATTACAAAAATGGGCCCTTTAGTTTCTTTTGACTGTGACCCACCTCGGTCCACCCCAAATGAAAGCAATCTTCACCCCTTGGTTTGTCCTTCTTAGGGCTGGATTGATGCCACGGTCAAAAAATTAATTACGTGTTTGAAGCAAGAGGCAAAAAGTAAAAAGTTTGATTTGTACATTTCATTTCATGTGTTAAACATTGGGAAGAGTTCGTTACTTAGGATTTAGTTGTCACTGAAGTCCTTTTAAAGATTAAGAAAGAAAACTTAAATTGAAAGAACTTTTCAAAGAATAAAAACAACTAAGCTATGTTTTAAAATGATAACAATCATAATTAGCTAAATAAAAGTTCATGACATGTATATCATTCTTTTGCAGATTTTGTGGTATGTTGTGTGGGTGTGTGGTCACGTGTGTTGTCCTAGGAGTTCAGTTATATCAAAATTACAAAATTAGATTAAGAGGGTTGATCTATTTTTAATAATAGAGAGAAAACAAATTTCTTATGATCAGGGACGTAAAAATAGGTTTAGTTCGATGGATCGACCCAAAAGGTATAGAAAATAAGTTAGGCTAGATAACAAAAATTGCGGCCTAAATTAAATCAAATTTATTTTTTAAGTTGTATGACAATATATTGAAAACATTCCTATTTCTTGAGTCATACATACCTTGATGATGAAACATTCTTACTCCCACCCATTCATCTTGACTTACCTTTGCATATGGTAGGAAACTACTATATTGCTTTGGATAATATTTCATTGTGATTTGAAGGTCTTGATCTTGATATTTCATACTTTACTTCTGCTTCTTGTTTTCTTTCACTTTCTTACCTAATTTAAACTTTTTCGCAACAATCCTATCGAATATAGCACAACATCTCAGACATAAGACAAATTTTTCATCATTTTCCCTTTTATGATTAAAAAATTCCACTAAAGTGTCATTCACCTTAGGATGGATTTCATTTTCTATCTCGAAATCCTCTAACTCCAACTCAAAATCTTCCTCACTATCATCGAGTTTGACATGACACGAATTAACAACCTTTGAAGTAATGTCCACCATATAAATTTCCAAATCATCAAAACAGTTCTTAACACCATCAACAACATTAAGTTTAACTTCCACATAACCCATATGAGCCTTAAAAGGATCGCTATCCACCTTCATTGATTTCTCTTTGAGCTTTAGTCAACCTTGTTCGATAACATCCTATATCGTATTCCTGAAATGAATATAATTATTAGTCCAATGATTATATATATTATGAAACTTACAATATTTTCGTCATTTTCTTTGCTTTAAAGTTGGTAACTTTTGGTCCTCACTCAATTTTATTTGTTTATCTTTTAACAAGATATCAAAAATTTTATTAGCTTTAATTACGTAGAAACTATAAATATGATTTACCATTTTATGTGAAATCTCACTTTTTTGTAATAGCTTACAAACATAAGGCGGATCGACTTTAATTTCAACAACATTTATTTTATTATTTTCACTCAATTTCTCCTCTTCATTCCCTTCTAAAATATTTGACATCTCATTATTATAATTATCAACTCCAACAAATCTAATTTGTATATTTCTTTATTACCTGCCAAATTTATGATATCTCTCTTTCTCATATTTAAATTGTTCGATCCTTCGAGCTTTATTAGCCAATTGGGTCATGTCCCTTAATGGTAAATTTACTAATTTTTTTCTTATCGAGAACTCTAGTCCTGTTGCTACCATTCTAATGGCTTCAGTCTTAAGAATTTATGTAAAATATCTCAATCTCATTTGCCTAAATTCGTTCAAATAATCATCTATATTTTTATTATGATACCTTTCACATTCATCAGGTCTATTAAACCAACTTGCATTTCTTCTCTATAGAATTGTTCATGAAAACTCCTTTCTAATTGTGCCTAATTAAATATCGAATTAGAAGGAAATGTTGTAAACCATGTAAAAACATTCTTTGTCAAAGAGCTCGAGAAATATTTCATTATCAAATTTTCATTTTTTAGAAGGTTTTCACATTCAATTTGATACCTAACTATATGCTCAATAGTAGATTCCCTAATATCACTTGCAAATTTTGTAAATTTCAGTATCTTTTATCCTCTAGGAAATTCAACCTCAAGAACAAAATCAGGAAAAGGCGAAATAAAATATGGTTGATTATACAACCTCATTCCCACATCTAGTTGATTCTATTGTCTTATCACTTGATTATAAGCATTTTATTGATAATTTCCATTATTATGATTATTTCTTTGTATGTTATCCCATACTTGCTAACTTTGATCCGCATCTTGACCCCTATTAACTATTCTAACATCTCTCAACTGATTATGATTTCCTTACATATTTCGATTATTATTTTGTCCTAGAGGTTCACCCTAATTATTTCCTATTTGCACATTATCATTCACCAAATTATTCCTTCTAGTGATACAAAGTGCATCTCCTATCCTCGCTATCTGTTCAGCTAATCTTTGCAAGCTATCGACTATATTCTGTACTAAAGGATTTAAGATGGTGGTCATTTGTTGAGACAATAGGTTAACCATTTCATGATTACTATCATCCATTTGTTGTCTTATTACCCCTAATGCATTGCTTGATATTCTTGTGTTTATATTCTCGAAGTCACCTTGATTTCTATTATTCTCCCTATCATTTATCAGCCTAAGTTGATTTTGACTTCAATCATTCATCCTATTAGAGTTTCAGGTGGGTTGCCATGATGACACTCCCCATGGATACCTTGTTGTTATTGGTATTCCTTAATTATTTCTCTGAGCTGATGTACTCCCACTAGCATTATGCCCCCCAATACAACAGGTCTATTCGTTGTCACATGTGGTCCAGTATAAGCACTACCTATAAGATTATTTACTGGTTGTATTATCGATGTTCCTTGATTGCTTTGACTACCAATGTTATTTGGATCAATAATACCACCCTGAATATTTTCTCTCACCCTCATTGGTGTTGTTTAATACCACATTAGATGTTAATGTGGAACTCGATATAGAACTATGTGTGCTTTGACTATCTTACCACTCCTTAATCTCATACATTATTAGTCTATAAAAAACAAAAAATGTGTCACTAGGTGTGCCAATTTGTTTCTAGTGTAAATGATTCGTTGTTCAATCAAATAGACATATACCAATACCCAAAGTATGCAATGAGTCATTTAAACACCATGTGTATTCTTTTATTTTTTTTCACTACTAAACACGAATTTCTGAATTTATACGCGAGCAACACCAATCGTTCGATAATCACGATACAATGTATTTTAATCAAAGACCATTCACATATAAGTTGTAACATTAAGTAAATTGTGAAAATAGTAAAAGTACAATAAAAGTAAATTGTTGGAAAGTAAATGTGCAACAAAAGATAAATGTGCAATGAAAATAAATTGCATAAACGTAAATCTAACCCATTACTAAGTATAAAACATGAATTGGTAAAGGAAATCAATATAAGTAGCGAACCAAATTGCAAATAACTTAATTGAAAAATGTTTATCTCTTGTACGTAGCAGTTTTTTCAGAATTCAAATCTTTGTATAATTTGACAATCACTCATTTTACATTTATTTCACCCTATTTTTATTTTTCCTATATAATTGCTAAAACAATTAAATATATACGGAAATTAAGAAATAAATTAAAATTAAGTCAAACAAAATACACCAAGATATAATAAAAATCTACGAAAGGTTATTTTTTTGTAACTGCTTCCTTTTTCTCGACCGACTTTATTGCTACGTAACACCTACAGACACACATATTACGTAATGGGATAATAATTGTTTTCGCGTGTCTCTCGATTGTATAACTTTATCTTGATTACATAACTTTTTCTTGATGTATTGTTCCCTTTGATTTGCAACCTTGTATTAGACATCTTTAACTCTTTTATCTTCGACGTTTTACAGATCACAGTATATCCTTTCAACTTACCTAATCTCTCTTCGATGACACGTGCCTTCAAAACTTGTACCCTTGATCCACACATTCCAATTTATTGCTTTAAGTTCACATTTTATTATTAATTCAATTCTATCGGTCTTGATCCTCAACTCTCAATAGTTTTGACATTTTCACTGTTCTTGTTTCCTTTAAAA